GTGAGTTCTGAAGTTACTTCCTTAAATTAGGTTATACAAAATAGAATCATTGTGTTGGAGTACAGCTCTTTACTCACCTGGGCAAACTGCTTTTCTGTGAGTTCAAAAACATCCTTAAAACCTGTATATAAAAAGCTTGAGTCTTGATGAATATTGGTCATTTAAAACTGAGTTTCGAAGAGTGAGTAGTTTGTAGGTGCACTAGTCTGTTTCTGTGCTTGTAACAAAATACCTGACACTGTGTAATTCATAAAGAAACAGAATTTACTTCTTACAGTTCTGGAGGCTGGGAAGTCCAAGGTCAAGGAGTGCATCTGGGAGGGCCACCTTCTGGCTGGGGACTCTACAGAGTCCCGTGGTGATATGGGGCATCACATGGTGAGGAGGGGGAGGAGCTCTCTAATGTGCTTCCTCCTCTCCTTGTGAAGCCACAAGTGTCAGTCCTGTGATGACCTACTTATCGTTAACCGGTTAATGGATTAATCCATTCATGAGGGCATAGTCTTCACAATCCAGTCACCTCCCAATGGCCCCACCTTTCAAATACCATAGTCTGATTTCCCATCCTCTTAAAACATTGTTGCAATGGGGTTCACGTTGCAGTGAGTTTTGGGGGTACATTCAAACCACAGTATTCTACCCCTGGGCCCCCAAAACTCATGTCTTTCTTACATACAAATATATTTGTTCCATCCTCATAGACCCAAACACTTGACTTAATTGTTTCAGCACCAACTCAATGGCCCAAAGTCTCAAGTCTCAAGTCTCATCTGTAAAATCGAAACAAGTCATCTACTTCCAAGATACAATGGTGGGACAAGCACAGAGTACATATTCTCATTCCAAAGCAAGTTTGAAACCCAGCAGGGCAGGCATTTAGTTTTACAGCTCAAGAATAATTTCCTTTAACTCCATTTCTGTTATCTTCTGCACAATGGTGTGGGCGTTGGGCCCCCAAGTTGTTGGGCATCCCCACCCCTATGGCTTTCCTGGGCTCAGCCCTCAGCTCGCCCAGGCTGGCGTTGCACACTGGTAGCTCTACAGTTCTGGGGTCTCCATGGCAGTCCTGCTCCCATGGCTCCACTAGGCATGGCCCTGATGGAGACTCTTTGCTGCAACTTTGACCCCATGTTTCCGCTGGGCATTGCTCTAGTGAAGGCTCTCTGACTCCATCCCTGCAACAGATCTCTGCCTAGGCCCCCAGAATTTTCCAGTAGGGGATTTGTTTATTAAATAAATAGGAATCTGAGGACCTGAGGTTTTAGTTATACATGAAGAAGAGGTTTTTATATTGAAAGTTGCCAGGTCTAGAATCAGTTACTAAAGGAAGTGGGGTCTGTTTTTCTGGGGCGAGACACAGCCGTCTGGTAGTTTAGAGGCATTTCACTCATTTATTCAGCCATCATTTACTGAATGTCCACCCTGTGCTGGCATGGCTCCAGGACCTGGAAGGTTGACTGTATAGAAAAGTGACCTCTAGAGAACCTGGGGTTCTATATTCAAAGTTTTCCATATGTACTGATAAGGAAGGGAAACACCTGATAGTAAGCAAGGACCAGTGAAACAAATAATCAGAAGGACTTTCCCAGGCTTTGATAACAAGAGGCTTGTTTTTTGCAAAACAGGTGTTTGGCAGTTATCCAGCTAGGTGGCATTTTACCTTAAAATCTTTAACAAATTGCCTTATTGCCTTGTTTTTATCTTAGGCAAAATGGGGGTGGTACTGTGATTTCTGCGATGATGGTGTGAAAATGAATTTGGTAATATTCTATGATATCTTAAAAAAAAATAGTACCGTTTTAGTCCTGTTATTACATTAGATTCATATAATTCTGTCAATTTATAAAGAATCTTTCTTTTATTTATAGTCATTTTCTTAAGTGCTTATGGGGTTAGCATATAATTAGCTTTGCTTTCTGCATGCCAGGAAGCAGCAGTTGGAGAAGGCAGAGTTTTCCTTCAAGGCAAGTGTGGTGGGTGTGGCGATGGGGAGGGTGGAAGCAGAGGTGGAGATGGGGAGATTTTTTTAGTGTAGACATTGTAGTGGTCCCTTAAGAGAAGCCAACGCGTGGACAAGGACAGCTGTGTTGGGAATTGAAACCCTAGAACTTGGTCACTCATCATTTCGTGGCATGTATAGGAGGGGAAAGAATCAAGGCTGACTGATTCTGGGAATTTCATTTATTTCTGCTTAGGCCATGTAATAGCTATAAATAAGTACATAAAAATATATGGGTCTGTGTGGTGCTACATCATTACATTTTGGGCAGCGAGTGAACAATGTCTGCACCTAGGAGATTAGAATTAAAATTTGAATGGGGCATTAAACTTCCTCTGGGAGTGTTATAAACTTTCTCATTTCTTTTCAGAAATGAAGTCACTACTGCATGTGGAAGATAGGACTAAACTGCCTGAGAGGGAAGGAGTGATAAATATTGTTTGTCCTAGTGCTCGAGGTCTTCAGTCACAGCCTCTGTGGTTGAATCTGGAGTGGAGACATTTGCACTTTATCATAGATAACTTCTCCCTGGTGCTGAGACCTGGACAGTGTTCTGAGGCCATCCTTGGGAATATGTTCATTTCATAGGGGTCAGAAGTTTTTGTTTAAAACCAAAAGAGGCCATCTGTGGAGCTCTGGGCACAGTGGTCAGAGGCCAGTGTCATGGTCCAGTTTTGGATTTATATGGCCTCTAGAGTAGGCAAATAAGCTGGAGATGTTGTGTGGTGACAGGCTTTCGAGGGACAATATTGCTGCCTCCTATCAATTTTTGCATATTAGTAGAGGAATCACAGTAACCTGCTGTGGAATTACTTCAGACATTTAAATGCTCTCAAGGTTGGGGTGAGTTCATTTTGTTCTACCACAAGACTTCCTTTTCAAGCTCATGCCTTTGCTTTTAGGTCTGAAATAGATTTAAAAAAAAAAAAAAGCCAAAGGATTCCTTCTTTTATTATTATTATTTTTTTTCCCTTTTTGTCTTTTTTTCGTGACCGGCAATGGATCGCAACCCTCAGTGTCGTGCCCGTACCGGACCGGGACTGGCAACGGGATCGCAATCCTCGGTGTTGCTCCCGCACCTCGCTCAGCCAGTGAGCGGCCGGTCTGTATGTGGGATCCGAACCCTTGGTGGGAGCGCCGCCGCGCTTCCCAAGCGGCGCACTGTAGCAGTGCGCCACCGGGCCGGCCCCCTTCTTTTATTTTAAAATATTTTAACAAAGTAATAACGGTAGCCTTTTTTTTTTCTTTGTTTTGGCAGCTGGCCAGTATGGGAATCTGAACCCTTGACCTTGGGGTTACCAGCACCATGCTCTCCCAAGTGAAGGAGCCCTTTTACTTGTATAAAATGCCTAGCATTCAACTGATTACTTTTGTTATAGTTAAGGATAAATGATTGATGTTTGTTTATAAATTTTTTCAGTTCCATCCAGAAATGTGTAGTTAAGAACTCTGTTAACAGAAGCAAAATTGTTTGTTAGCTTTGCATTTTGATTATATTTAGTAATTTGGAATGCTAACTTTTAGGACAGATAGGACTTAATATGGGTTTACTTTTCTCATTTGGTACATTGGACTCTCTAAAGTGCTTTTTCACTGGTTTCCTTTTTCAGAGCAAGTGCCTGAAGTAACAGAGAAGACGGAAATTAACTCCAAATTTCATTCCTTTACTTTCTGTGTGTGTGGTTTTCTTTTTTAAATTTTTAATCTTGTTTTACATTTTATGGGTATCGAACTTTGAATATTCATAAAAGTAGACAGAGTGATTTAGTGAGCCCCTGTTATAGTGAATCCCTATTGAAGCCCAACTTCACCAACCATCAACCCATGGGCCATCCTTCCTCATCCCACCTTCAGTTATCCCTTTCCGTATTAGTTTGAAGCAGATCTCAGACATTGTGTCATCTGTGAGGTATTTTCATTTTTTGGGAAAGGATGTTAGAGTCAGTCCACTCACTGATTTGCTGTGGGCCAATGGCTGGACATTTAAAATAGACAGGCACTGAGGGCGGTCTGGGACTTAGTAATAGGGCCACTGCTAAGGTGAGTTATTTTGAATTTCTGCAGCTCTTAGTAATATTTGATAAGTGTCTTTTCTGTAGAGTAACACAGACTTTGTGTGTTGTCTCTGTAATTATTACTTAGCCCTCTTCCATCTTCCAAAAAGATGTTGAGCTAACTCTAAGAAAATACGTATATAAGATTTAAAAAGAGAGGAAGAAATCAGTAGAGAGTGTGAATGAGGGTCACGTTGTAAGAAGAAGTGATCACAGCAAAGAAGAGTACGTAACCGTGATCAAAGGCATGCCGCTGAATTTTCTGGTGAAATATCAGTAGGAAACAATCAGTTTTATATTACCCTTACGTTTCTTAAGTGTATCTTTTTCTCTCACTGAAGAGAAATTTCCCCTGTGGGATCTTCTGCAAGAGGCCATTTGGGTGGCTGGTGGTGGCGGTGGTGGGTAACTTGGTCTCTGAGTCGATGGCTCTCAGGGCAGCTCAGAGCATGTTTTTCATTGTTTTTGGGGTGTGCAGAAGTAATACGTGGAGTAGGTATGATTTATTGAACATCTGCTATATATCAGGCATTGTGCTGGGTGATTTTATTTCATTTAATATTCAACATATTTCTGCTCCATAGGTATTATTTTTCTCCTTTTTCGGGCAAGGAAATTGAAATTCAGAGAAAATAAGTAACTTTCCAGAGTTAGGCAGCTGTCTACTCAGATTGCTGAAAATATTTGACAGCTAGATAAGTGAATCGCTGATTTATGTTTTTTGGGTGTTAAGTGTCTGAGTATGTAGTTACGTTTTTTAAAAAAATTACCCAGGTATGTCTTTAGATCACTGTCTAACTGGAAATGTGATCACTTTGGAGAGGACAGGGTTGTGGGCCATGGTTTGCAATGGACCTTTGTATTGATGGTAGGTGTCCATGACTATTGTGTTGTTATTTTCATTGCACATTGCCAATTCTGCATTTCATTCTTTTATCTTAATGCAGAGAGAAAAGGAGCAGGAGGAAGAGAAAACTAGTTTGTTCAGGAACACAGGGAAGAATGAAGATGATGAAAGAAGAGCTATGATAACTCCTGCTCTCCGAGAAGCCCTTACTAAACAAGGTGAAAATCCTTAACAGTTGTCACTCTGTGATGCTTTTAAGCAATCTAATTTAGTAGGAAAGAAAAAAAAAAAAGAGGAAGCATAAAATAGGGATTGCCAAGAGGAAAAAAGATAATGAAGTCTCTCTGGTGAGCTCAGCAGCTGTGTTATAGTGGCAGGTGTAGCTGCCTGAAGACTCACCCTCATGTTTTTTGGGGGTCGCTTGTGTGTTGGCTGCCTGGACAAGCAGTCCTCTCTGCTTCGTTAATTGGAATGTTACTATCAGTATGACTCAAACATGCAGATAGAAAATGCTATCTATCACCAGCTTCTTTACAAATTATAGTTTATTAAGGGGAAACTATTAAATGCAAAAAAAAAAAAGCTCATATGATATAAGGCTGGGTTAATTAGAAGTGTTTTATGTAGACGTGTCATGCCTGGATTTTTGTGGTTGTACCTTATTAAGGACACTGTAGTTGAATGAGTGAATAATGTTATTACTTTCCTGTGGGAGAAAGAGTAGTGAATTGGGAATCAGGAGACTGACCTTCCAACCCTCCCTTCTCCCCCATCCTCCTCCATATTTATGAAGGACCTTTAGGTGACAGTTCTGGCAATGCAGAGAAAAATAAGATAGAGTTTCTCCTTCAAGGAACCATTAGTATGGTAGAGGAGACAGACATATATATATAAATGTGCCTTTTAGTTGGGGTAGATACTTACATTTAAGTGATTTTATGATAGATTTAAATCTGTCATCTTAATACTTGTTTTCTACTTATCTGTTCTTTGATTTCTTTTTCCTGTTTTTCTGCCTTTTTAGATTAATTCAATTTTTTATGATTCTGTTTTATGTCTTTATTGGCTGTAACACTTTTGTTATTTAGTTATATAGGTTTTGCACTATACCACTTTATCATATCATAGTGTGTCTATGAGTGGAATTACACGACTTCATTTGTTAAATAGAAGAACCTTAGAATAGCATGCTTCCGTCTGTTTTCCCCTCCTTAACCTTTATGCAGTCATCATCAAACATTGTACCTTTACATATGTTATAAGCATATGTTATAACATTGTTATTACTTTTGTTTAAACAGTCAATCATCTGTTAAAGATTTCCATAATTAAAAAGAAGCTTAGGTACTTACACATGCAGTTACCACTTTCTGTGTCCTTGTAGATCTAAGTTCTATCTGGTTTCCTTCTCCTTGTGCCTGAAGGACCACTTTTTAACATTTCTTGCCGTGTGGCTTTGTTGGCAGTGAATACTTACAGCTTTTATATATCTGAAAGTCTTTGCCCTAATTTTTGAAGGATGTTTTGTGTTGGATATAGAATTGAAGGTTGGCAGCTGCTTTTCTTTCAGCAGTTTAAAGGTGCTGCTCCACTGTCCTGTCACACATTGCTTGCGGCAGGAACTCAGCAGTCAGTCTTCTTCTTAGAAGTAATCCATCCCCCCCTTTAAGATTTTCTCTTAATTACTGTTTTTGAGTAACTATCATGTTCCTCAATATAGCTTTCTTTGTGTTTCTTTTACTTGAGTTTTGTTGAGTTTCTTGGTTCTGTGGATGTATAGTTTTCATCAAATTTAGACAAATTTTGGGCATTATTCCTTCAAATATTTTTCTGTCACACAGACCCTTTTCCTGGGGACTACATCTACGTGAATAATGTAATTAGATTTGACCCACAGCTTGCTGATGCTCTTTTCATTTTTTGAAATTCTTTTTTTCTGTCACTTTTTATTTTGGATAGTTTCTATTGCTGTATCTTCAAGTTCAGTATTCTTTTCTTCCCTAATGTTTAATCTTCCATTTGTCCAATGTATTTTCAACTTAGACATCGTAATTTTCATCTCTAAATGTTTAGTTTGGGTCTTTTAAAATCTTCCACACCTATGGCATGCAGTTATAATTGTTTTAATGTCCTTATCCTCTAATGTCTGTGTCGTTTTTGGGTCAGTTTTGGTTGATGGATTGTCATGTTTTCCTGCCTGTTTACATGTTTCATCATTGATTGGATGCCAGACCTAATTTTACCTTTTTGGGTGCTGGATATTTTTGTATAAACACTTGTACATTTTTGAGCTTTTTTAGGGGGGACAGAGATAAGTTACCTGGAAATAGTTTGAGCTTTGAGTCTTACTTTTGTTATTTGTTAGGTGAGACCAGAGCCAGCTCAGCATAATGGCTAATTATTTGTCACTACTGAGGCAAAACACATCTGAGTACTCTCCCCAATGCCTTGTGATTTTCCAGCCTGCTGTGAGCACCAGCCATACCTCTGATCCTTTCAGATGTTCCTCCCCTGCCACCCCTCTATTTTTGGGTAGTTTTTCTCTTACACATGTTTGGAAAAAATTCAAAATTTTAAATTCTGACTAGCTTGTGAAATGAAATGCCTCTGTAACTAAATGTGCTTATCTACCAGGGTCCCCAGAATTTAGACCAGTAATAATAATCAACTGCCTGCATTCCTGCTTCTGTAATCTTGCCTGCCTACTTGCCCGAATCACGTGAATGTGAAGAAGCTGAAACCAACAGCTGCTTGCCTAAGATATATGCTTAAACCAAAACTTACAGAGTCCGCCTAACTTGCCTGTAAAAAGCCCTGTATACTTGTGTTCAGGGTCCCAGGATTTCAGAACATGAGTTTGCCTGGGTCCTGCTAGTGTAATAAACTTTCTGACTCTCCAACCCCTCTGAGTGTCTGGAGCTTTCTTGCTGAGTTCGTTCCATAACACATGCACTAATCAGAGCTAAGGCAACTACTTTGTGGGAATCTTCTGCAGACTCTCAAGTCTCTCTCTATGCAGCATTCATTTCTGGTATTTGGTCCAGCAAACTCTAGCCACTTTGGTCGCAGACTGTCAGTTCCCTTTGCTGGGCTCTGGGAGTCCATCGAGCTTTGCTTGGGGCACCTCTGCCTGCTGCATGGCCTGGAAACTTTCAAGACAGTAAGCCAGGGTTATGGTAGGCTCACCTTGTCTGTTTCCCATTGCTCTGCAATTACCCTTCTTTGTTACCTGACGTTTTGTGTCCTGAAAGCTGTTGTTTCATGTAACTTGTGTTCCAAAATCAGAATGTTCTCTTTTTGCTGTACCAGTTTGTTTAAAAAGGAAATGAGATTGCTTTTGCATAGCTTTTTTCATGCTTTCCATGTCTCATGTGGCTCACAATTTTTAAATGATAGGTTGTGGAGTGGTTCTGAGAATTCAGTCGGTTGTAGTTCCTAGAATTGTATTTTTCCTCCTTTTGGGTTAACATTTCTTTGTTTTAATCTGTTGTCCGTGTGATTCTCCATCTTTTTTCAGAGATTACTGATGATAGTTCTCCCGTCATTCATTGGAAATACATTGTTACTTTTGCTTTTTGGCCCAGTATATGGGTCCTTGAAAAGAATGTGTATTCTGTAGTTGTTGAGTGCAGTACTCTCTGTATGTGTTGGGTCAAGTTTGTTTATTGTGTTGCTCAGATCTTTTAGAGCTTTATTGAGTTTTGGCCTGTGAGATCTGTTAGATATTGAGAGTTTTAAAATCTCCTCCAGTGATTTTAGATTGACTTACTGTTTCTTTATATATTTTGAGTCTATGTTATTAAATGCATATATTTTAAATTGTTTTCTCATCCTGATGAATTAAACTTTCATGTTTTCTGCTGTGGGGTTGTTGACTGCCATAATGCAAGCAAAGAAAGATGATTTTGCTAAATTTTAATGTCACCTTTTGATAAGAGGCTTTGAGTCAGTTCAATTTTGTGTTCTCTGCTTTTCCATTTAGGTTATAAGTTGATTGGGAGCCACTCTGGGGTGAAGCTTTGCAGGTGGACAAAGGTATTTATTCGTTTTTATTCAAATGCTATACCGTATATTGTTCTATTATAGACAACTTTTATATGACTATTATATGCAGTCAATAAATTTAGTGTTTAAGGATATAATTTACATTTAACAAAATGCACAGATTTTTGAATGAATTTTTAAAATCAGTTCAGCAAATTTTGGTGGATGTAGAACTCACATCTACCACCCCAATTAAGATATAAACTATTTTCCTCACCCCGTTGAATCTACTTGTGCTCATTCCTGGTCAATACTTCCCTCCCCTCAGGCAACTATTGTTCTAGTTACTATCACTGTTATTTAGTGTTGCCTTTCTAGAATTTCATATGAATGGCATCATAATGTTCAGTCTTTAGTGAGTGGCTTCTTAAGCTCAACATAATGTTTCTGAGATGCATTCATGTTGAAGTATGTATTCACTTTTACTGCTCAGTAGTATTCCATTGTATGAATGTACCACAATTTTTTAACTTGTTGATAGACATTCGGTCTGTCTTTAGTTTTTGACTATCATGAATAAAACTGCTATGTACATTCTTTTACAAAACTTTTTGTGAACATTTATTTCAACTTTCCTTGGATATATACCTACAAGTGGAATTGTTGGGTCACAGGGTAGGTATGTATTTAACTTCATAAGAAACTCCCAGACTGGTTTTAGTGTGGTTGTGCTGTTTTACACTTGTATCAGCAATTTATGAAAGTTCCAGCTGCTGCACAATTTTTGATATTGTCTTTTAATTTTAGCCATTCTGATGGGTATCAAGCAGTATCTCATCATGGTTTTAGTTTAGATTTTGCTCGTGATTACTGATTATTGGCAGCACCTTTTCATGTGCGTATTGGCCAATCTGTACTTACGAAGTGTCTGTTTAAATCTTTTTTCCAAATGAGGTTCTTTGAGTTTATATTATTGATTTCTAGAAGTTCTTTGTGTATTATAGATATGAATCTTTTGTCAGATGTACATTGTGAATGTTTTCTCTGGTCTGTGGCTTTCATTTTCTTAATGGTATCTTTTGAAATTTTTAATTTGGTTACAGTCCAGTTTATCATTTTTTTCCTTTATGGTTAGTGCTTTTCATACTCTTAAGAAATCTTTGCCATACCCAAGGCTGCAAAGATATTCTGTGTTTTCTTTCTTTCTTTCTTTCTTTCTTTTTCTTTGGCTGCTGGCTGGTATGGTATGTTTTCTTCTAGAAGCTTCATATGTAATTCTAACTTTCATATTTAGGTCTATAGTTCTTGAATTAGTTTTTGTGAACAGTGTGAGGTGTAAGAGTCAAGTTTCATTTCCCCTCATCACCCATATGAATATCCAGTTGCTTTGGCACCGTTAGTTGAAGACTTTCCTTTTCTCATTGAATTATTTTTATGCCTTTGTAGAAAATCAATCCATCATATATGAGTAGGCTTATTTATGGACTCTTTTTTTTTTTTTTTTTCCTTTTTGTCTTTTTTCGTGTCCGGCAACGGATCGCAACCCTCAGTGTCGCGCCCGTACCGGACCGGGACCGGCAACGGGATCGCAACCCTCGGTGTTGCGCCCGCACCTCGCTCAGCCAGTGAGTGGGAACCGGTCTGTGTGGGATCCGAACCCTTGGTGGGAGCGCCACCGCACTCCCAAGCGGCGCACTGTAGCAGTGCGCCACCAGGCCGGCCCCTTTATTTATGGACTCTTCATAGTCTGTTCCATTGATACATTTATGCCAGTGCTGCATTGTCTTGATTACTCTAGCTTTGTAGTAAGTCTGAAATTATGTAGTATGCATTCTCCGTCTTGGTTTTTAAGATTTCTGTGATTGTTTCCACTCTTCTGAGTCCTTTGCATTTCTGTATAAATTAGAATCAGCCTGTGAATTTCTACTGTATGCATTTTTAAAGAGCTTTATTGAGATATAATTCACATACCATACAAGTCATTGATTTAAAATATACAGTTTAATGGTTTTTTAGTAAATGCACAGGATTGTGCAACCATTACCATAATCTAATTTTAGAACATTTTTGTCCTCTCTAAAAGAAATACTGCACCCATCAGCAGTCAGTCTCCATCCTCCCTCCTCCCCCAGCCCTAAAGAATCATTAATTTCCTTTCTACCTCTATAAATTTGCTTAATCTGGACATTTCATACAAATGGAGTTGTATAATATGTGGCTGTTTGTGCCTTCTTTCACTTAGTATAATGTGTTCACAGTACATCCAAGTTGTACCATATATCAGTCTTTCATTCCTTTCTATGGCTAATAATATTCTATGTATGGACATAACACATTTTGTTTATCCTTCATCAGTTGGTGAATATTTGGGTTGCTTTTACTTTTTGGATATCATGAATAATGCTGCTGTGGATATTATTATATGTACATGTTTTTGTGTGGACATATATTTTCATTTTCTTTGGTTATATACCTAGGAGTGCAATTGCTGGATCATGGTAACTTGGTGTTTTTAGTCATTTAAAGAACTGCCAAACTGTTTTCCAAAGTGGCTGCACCATTTTACATTCCTACCTGCATTGTACTAGGGTTCTAATTTCTCTGCATCTTTGCCAATATTTGTTATTATCTGTTTTTTTTGATTATAGCCATCATAGTGGGTGTGAAGTGGTATCTCATAGAGGTTTTGATTTGCATTTCCCTTATGACCAGTGATGTTGAACATCCTTTCATGTGCTTTTTGGATGTTTTTATCTTCTTTGGAGAAATGTCTTCAAATCCTTTGTCCATTTTTACATTTGTTAATTATCTGTGTATTGTTGGATTGTAAGAATTCTTTATATATTCTGGATCAGAGCTCCTTATCAGGTACATGATTTGCCTCTCTTGCTGCTGTTTGTGTCTGCGCTGTGTGTGTACTGCAGGAGTGACTCAGGCCTCCTGCAGCAACTCAGCTCTTGGTGGTAAAGAACCTTCAGTCCTGTCTTCCAAACCTTTTCCCAGTCTGTCCTGTCCCTGGCAAGGTTCCCAAAACAGAACTGTTCTCTGCCTTTTGCTGTTATTAGTTAGCTCAAATCTGACAGTTCTGAGTGAATTAACCCTTCTTCTCCAGTCATGTTTGAAACCAGAGGGTTATACAAAAAGGTGGATACAATGAAATCAGAATAATTTTTCTCCTGAGCCACTTACCACAGCATATGGTATGTGCTCAGTGAATATTTATAAAGTAAACATATAGTAAAGATCTAAAATCAAGGCATTACCTTTGTAATAATAAGTGAAATATTGCTCTAGCACTTTGAGCTATAGAGTGTGAAAGCACTTTGAAAATTAATAAATTATGATAATGTAAGGAGCTTTTACCTTTAGGCTTGGAGGTGAACATAATTAGTATAAGCAGTGTAAGATAATATTAAATGAGTAGCCCTCAGTGAACCATGACTAGTCACACCCTTGTTCAGTCCTCTCCCATGTGACTCTACGCTTGGCCATTTGACCTGCTTTGGCCAATACGATGTTGCAAGCACAGTGCAAGCAGAGGCTTTGTAAGTGCTTGCACACTGAGGCTTGTCCTGCTGTAATGTTTCCTCTGGGAACCCAGCTACCAAGCTGTAAAGAAGCCAGTCTAGACTACTGGAGAAAGAGAGGCTAAGTGAAGAAGACCGAGGAGCCCCAGCCAGCAGCAATTGTCAGACATCTAAATAGAATCACCTTGGATGTTCAGCCCCAGCCAGACTCCTTGCATACAGCTGTATGAGTGACCTCCACTCACACCGCACGGATTGGAAAAACCACCCCACTGACTCGCAGGATCGTGAGGAAATTATAGGTTAGTATTGTATTTAGTCACTGGGTTTGGGGTAGTTTGTTATGTAGCCACAGGTACCTGAAGTAAGTGGTCATGGTTTGCTGCCAGTTTGATAGGGTTAGATATCTGTTTGGTGAGGAAAACAGTCATAGTGAAAGATGACAAAGCTTAAGCTGCTGAAAGCCTGAGTGAAAGAAAGCGCTCCTATGGCACAGCTGTGGATTTAGACAACCAGGATGAGAGAAGGGCAGGAAATGTTTTTTTTTTTTTCCTTTTCTCAATTCTGTTTTGAGGGGTATTTGGCTGGAAGATTAAGGGCCTGGCAAGCATTCCATCAAGTGCTTTGTGGCTTTGCCATCTTCATTTTCTAAATCTCTGTCATCTGGATGGACTCCTGGAGAGTAGGAGGTTCTTTCAGCCAGAAAAGCATGACTTTCAGGGTACTGATGTAGGAGGGCATGCGATTTGATGAAGAAGTCTCTTAATTTAATTGACAGTCTGTTTTCCCATTCTTACCGCCGCAGTGTCCAAGTCTGGAAAATAAATATATTTATCATAAATAGATGGCATATATAGGGTATATAATACACACATATATAGTACATATATCATTGTGATATTGTGATATAATAAGAAGTATATATTTGATCTTTGTTCTTGGTTCCTGACACAAGAGCTTCTAAAACCCTTTGAATTTCCTGAGTGATAGGGGTGAAGGGAGTATCTTTTGTTATTTACGATAAGCCCTTTTCAACCTTACCTGAGTTTATGTTAATAAGGTGACTCTTGGTGGGGCAGTCTTCTGGGACTGAGCCCCTAATCTGTGGCATCTGATTCTAACTCCAAGTAGTTAGTGTCAGAATGGGATTGAATCGTGGGACACCCAGTTGCTGTCTGGAGAGTTGGAGAATTGGTGTGGAATAAACCACACATTTGGTTCAGAAGTGTTGGAGGTGAAAAGCAGTTCTTAATCATATATGATATAGCCCTTTTACTTTTCATTGTAACTGTAGCTTTACTACTGTTGAGTAACAGTTGTTAATATAGAAATATCACAAGGACTGCCTAAGTTGCATGGCACAGGGAGTAGGAGAAGTGGACATGGGACAACACTGCAACCCTGTCAGTCATTCGGTGTGTACCGAGTGCTTTCTGTGAGCCTGGAGGTTGTGGAAGCTGATGGAGATATGGGGCTGCCTTCGTTGAATTTTGGTGAAAATGTTTCTCTCTTGTTTTTACTTTG